TGTATATATATATATGTATATCTATATATATATATATATATGTATACATATTTATATATATACATATATATATATGTATACATATATATATATATACACATACATATTTACATATGGCATGCCGAACAGCACCAGACCATCGTTGTTGTCCCACAAAAGTGGTTTAATGGAAATATGCTACTTGACTGATCTTGAGCTCGCTCATGAGCTTAATCGCTGCAGTCCAAATTTGCTGCAATGGTTCATGGATGTTGGATGCAGCTCCATGTGGGGGGCTTCACACATGTGTGGATGGGGATTCGGCTTCATGGTCCGATTTGGTAGGCATCGGACATTGTCGCAAACCTATCTCCGAGAAGACTGCAACTCGATGTCGGGACCTAAGAATCAGAAAGCAAGAGGCTTGGCCACAGCTGTTGCTGGACAAATTTGTCTGCGGATACTGGGAGAGAAATGTGGCGAGGTCTCAATCAGCAACGCACTGGTCTCGGCAATCGGCAGAGGTTCGAAATGGCTGAGGGCCTTATGTGCCTTCAGTGCCATGCGAAGGCAGAAGCCGATCGCGCAAAGCAACAGATTGTTTTGACAATGTCTGGGTTGCAAACATGTTGGCGGTTTTGCGACAGGTCGAGGCTCGACCACGATCACATCTCTTTCAACTCGGGCATTTCCGCCTGTGGCAGAGGGGGTGCCTGGAAGCAGGCAGTGCACTTGTCTGCAATGCTGCAGACAGAGGACCTAAGCCGCGACGTGGTGACGTTCAACGCAGGAGCCGTAAATCTTCAATGTTTTCATTCTAGATTTGAATGAACGTTTCCGAACAGCAAAAGCGCTCAGATTTAAACACGTGCCGGGCGCCGGAGGAATCTCTGCCTGTGAGATCCAAGCCAAATGGCCAACCGCGCTTTCAATATTTCGTGATGCTTGTGATGGCGTGAAGCTGCACCTGGTGACATTCGGTGCCATGTTGACCACAGCCAGAAGAGCAGCTGCTTGGGAAGCGACTCTGTTGCATGTGTGGTGCCAGATGCTGTGCTGGGCGGTGCAGCACACTCATCTTCTGAGACTGCTCCCTGCAGAATGTTTCAAGTTTGAATGCAGCAGGTAACTCTTGCAGCACTCCGGCAGATGCGTCCGCGGTCGCTCTACCCGAATGAGGCGTGTCTTGATTGAGATGCCAAGTTTGTTTGTCTTATTCTGAAAGACCTTTTGCCACAGGTCTGTGGCAATGCAGCGATCGCTGCACTTCGAACCCAGTCTGCCAAGTGGGCCGATGCCAGATCGCTGTTGATGGTAGAGGTCTGAATGAACCGCGCCGTTTTCTGGGGTGCACTTGGTAGTCGTGGAGCATGTCAGTGGTGCAGCCTTGCTCCCTGCAGCTTGGAGCCTCGTCGACCAGCTTGGTGCTGAGCTCTCTTGTTCGTCCATGGCGCGAAGTCTTGAAACTCCTGTCGCAGTGGGGTGATGGATCTTTGCTGACAGTGCCGACTCTGAATGCAGGCGCGCAGATTACGAGCTGACTGCTGTTTAGCCCGGGAAAATCAGAGGATTCAACAGGTCCTTGGGATAGCGCAGAGCGAAAAACATGTCAAGATCAAGTATCGCTTGCAGGAATCACAGCCTGCCACAGAGGCAGTCGCTGGGAGATGTCCTTATGGATACTCAGCAAGATGATGTGCTCAAGTGGCGCCAGGACGGGTCTCCAGAGAGTGAAGTAAAGAGTTTTGGGGTGTGTGTGTGTGTGTCTCTGTGTGTGTGTGAATCGTGTGCACTGTCCACTTTATTCTTGCACCTGCATAGACCACCGTCACACAGAGTAGGTCTTGTCAGTGTTATTCTCTCTCTACCCAAACGTCAAGCAGCCCCAGATGCTTACTTCACAATCCTGAGTCCGAAACGACGAAATCCCAGACCCCAAGGCCTGATGCAATTACGTGTGCATCCGCCTTGGCCGGCTGCGAGAGGCCCCGGCCGTCTTTCGGGCTTATCGTTTAGAGTTTAGAGTTTTTCCAGAGTTTAACAATTTTTAAGGTTGGAGGTTCGAAGGGGCGTTTGGGGTCCAGGGTTTGGTGGAATTTTAGGCTCATGGGCGCCTGAAATCTTCAGGGGCCAGCGCTGGCAACTTGTGGCGCAGCTGCTGGGTGCGTTCCACAGACTCTCCACACAGCTGGACTTGACTGCACTCTGGCTGGAAGCTTCTGCGGTGGCTGATCCGGCCTTGCTAAACAAGACCAGATGCATTCCGGAGCCGTAGAGCAGTCTTCAGAACCCTTGGCTTGTGGCAACTTGAGGTGAGCCAGGCAGCTCTCAGCGCAGCTGCAAAAGGCCATGCGTGGCGATCTGCAACACAAGGAATACGCGAAGTTGCGCAGCAAGGCAGGCGAATGCTTGTATTGGAAGGGAGCTCGTCAGACTTCGACATGGATCCGACTGCACGGTGCCTGCCCGGCAGGATTTGGGCTTTCGGTTGCTGCCATCAACAGCGCTGCCTTTGCTTGTCAGAGCGGGAAGCGCTGGAGATGGTCCGCAGAGCTCACTGGACAACTCAGGATGGATGCGGGTGTTTGTCAAACCCCCCAAGAAAGCATGCATAGAAGTAGCGAGCAGAGGTTTGTGACTACCAGCGGAGAACCTGCTACGGCATCGAGAGGCTTGCCGCCGTCCGTCCAGATCATTTTTCTGCAACTTCTCTGCTGGCATCAGCATGGCCGACCGCCTTGCATGCTCTCCAGGCCTGCCAGCGTAGTTTCCGTGGTGCCTTTGCAGTCTCGTCTTGTCATCAGGGCTTCAACTTGCTGATGCTGAAGTATGACGATCTCGCTTGCAGCTCCATCATGACGATGCTTGGTTGCAACGGTCTATTGTAGCTCAGCGATTTGCCGGCTTTTCATGACCAGGACCCTTTCGTTCTCAAAAATCTGGGACCGGGCTTTGCTGCTACAGCAGCAGATTCCCTCCAACATCGGAGACGTGTTGGCCTGTGACTCGTCATGAAAGCAGCTGGTTAAACGCGCACCGGTCGTTTGCACATCCCTCCAGCTCGTCATTTCAGTTTAGGTGTGATAGATAGATGTCCTCGGAGCAGTAGAGTTGAAACATAAAGTCGCAGCGTTTCGGCAGGCGATGTACTGACCAGTGCCTGTGAGACTTCAGGGGGACTGGAACCTGTCCCGGCTTTGCTGGTCCAGGCGGCCTCAGTTCTGAGCTGGCTAAAAGCGCGACAACACATGCAGCAGCTTGCGGCCACGTAGTTTCTCTTGATCCTGCGACAGTTGTATGTGGCGAGAGGCATGGGGGACAAATTCGAAGATCAAACAAGGTATTTAGACATAATGTCATGCAATGTTGCTCGGGCCAGAACGGTTTCCGCTTCCATGGTTCTAGCATTTTGTTTTCTCTGCATGCGGCACAGAGGTTCTGCAGCACCAACATGGATCAGCAGCATACCATGGCAAAGCGTGAGCTTGGTAGCTACAAAAGCTGTATGCGACAAGACTTACATCCAGCTCCTCACCAAGCCTCGGCCCTGAAGGAAACACTAGTGACACTAGTGTTTGTAGAGCTGCGAACAGCAACACAGCAAGAGCTATGGTGTGCTTGTATGGAGGCCGGGGTCTTGGCAAGTTGGGTGCACTGCCCGATTTGGAGAACTCTGGCCAGGCCACGTCTAACCCGGGAACCACGTCCAGAAGGCTGAGAAGAGGCCAGGGCTTAGGGCGCAGTGTCCTGCATCAGAACTTTGCGCGTGCTGAGCGTGGATTCATTTCCAGTGCTTCAGCTGTCCATGTCTGCATGTTACTCGTTTTTGTTGCGATTCATTCGTTATGTGACTGGTTCGAGCAACTCCTGATCCTGTCAGTGTACTGAGCAGAGAATTTTGTACGTGCCAACATGGGAAGCGGAGCATCTGTGGCTTCCGGCGTGCAAGACGCAACTCCAGCTCAGCTCAAGGAGACTTTCGGCGCGCTGTCCGCAGAGGACAGCTTTGAAAGTAGTAAGCATAGTTCTGCCACAGTGCTGTGGCTACTGTACCTGTAAGCGGCATGTGACGACTGAGCCAGGAGCAAAAGAAAATCACAGAAGCACTTGCGAAAGTCGAGACGAAAGCAGAAACCGCTGCGGCACCGGCAACAGGGGAGACCCCTTCTACCGAGGCGAAGCCTGAGGAGAAGAAGGCAGAGGAACCGGAGATGACGGATGAGCAGCTGAGCATGCTCAAAGCAGCTTTTGATGACATTGATACCAATGGTTCCAAGTACATCGAGGCGGCTGAACTCAAAACAGCTGCTCGGCATGAACTCCGGACTTCTTGCTGGCTGTCTGCTTGTGTGCTTAGATCCAGAGATCTGCAAGCCATTTTCAGGTGCTGGGTAAAATGAAGGTGGAACTGTCTGACGACCAGATCGACGCCGTGTTCAAACGTTCTTCTCTTAATGGAGTGATGTGTGGCATCGACAGAGACATTTCCGCCATGTTAAATTGCGAACGATTTCTTCGCAGGTGCAGACCTCAACAAGGATGGAAAGCTCAGCTTCGACGAGTACAAGAAGCTGGTGTCCGCAGGTTCGGTGTTGTCAGCAGACACGCAAGTAGTAACAGGTCCATCCGCAAAGTTCACGTCCACTTGCCTGGACATGCTGCGCGGCAGGAATCCAAGCAAAAGAACCCAAGTGAGTGCGAGGACCGTGAGATTTGACCACACAGACCGCCACAGCAGCAGGGCTTTGCTCAAATTGTGATTTGAAAGCTCTCAATGGTGTCTGACTCGCTGCAGCTTCGGATCTGCTTGTCGTACAGGACCCGACGAAAACGGCCACAGCGCACTGGTGCCCTGACGGCTTTCAGCGAGCGAACCTTTTCAGAGCTTGGCAGATGCTATGAAAATTTCTGGATTGAAGCTGCAAGAGATTTCAAGCAGCTCCCGTCTAAGAGTCTGGCAGTTTAGCTAGCAGTTTAGCAATGTGGTGCCTGTCCCACCATGCTCAGCAGCTTCTCTACAGAAACGTCGAAGTGCCATCGTTTGATGGTACTTGTGGCCGGCGTCTTCGCCTTGAAGTGGCCGAACCTTGTGGTTAGGAAATGATGATTGGGGCACAGCCACTGAGTTGCTCATGCTTGTCACTGTTTGTTCCATAGAGTGGCCTACTTCAGATTTCAAAAGCTCATCGCAGTTTGGTTTTGGCTCCCTGGGCAAATGCCTATGGAGTTGCAATATGCTGTCACCTTCCATGGTCCTCTCTTTCTGGCTGGCCGGGGGGACCGTGCAACGGCCAAGCCAACAGGGCTTGGCAAGGACTGTTCCTGCGGAGCGTGTTGTGCAAATAATTGCCACATAGTTCTACTTCAAATGTCGGTTCCCGAAAGCGCCCGGGTTTACACTTCCTTGCAGTGCACATTCTTGGTTTGTTCTCACGGCATGCACGGACGACAAATAGGCAGAGAGCTGCAACTGATACCTGGTAGCACAGCACAGGTTCGTCCGATGCCGTGGCCTTGCGACAGCTTCGCGAGGAGAGGGCAAAGCACTTCTAGTTGTGCGAACTCAAGCCGAAATTGTTGCCTGTGTCCTGCGTTTGCTGGCTACTCTTTTCGCTGCTTTTTGGTCTGCAGGCGGTGCGAGCACGGACCCCGGGTGAGCCCTTCACGTTCCTTGAGCGGCTCGGGCTGCGAGAGGCGAGGCATGGCAACGTCATGGAGCCATTTCCGAAGCGCAGCTGCTTCGGCAGGTTCGCGAGCTGGTCGCGGCGCTGTAGGGCGTGGCAGAGGTAGTCCGTTTCGTTGTTTTTTCCGGCCTGTTGATGATGCAAATGCCAGGGAGCGAATGCGGAAGGCTCGTGCCGAGGGAATGCTACATCAAAGACTTGGAAGAATTATGGGTGAATGGATGCACAGGCCACGATCCCGCTGTTGCCACACTCTCATGTTTGGCAATTTGGGGTTGTTGTCTCAAGAGCGGTGACAGCTGCTAGTTGGTTTTGGGCTGAGGTCAGCCTCGTGCGCCGTGTCTTGCTGCAGCCGGGTACTTACGGAGTGGGCATCCAGCTGCGGACCCTGAAGCTGGACCAGGAAAGACTTAGTTAGCCATAGCTCGGGCTCGTAGGTTACTTCTCACAGCGCACCTGGCTCCATTGTCGCTTTCTCCGCCCTTCCCTCGTATGGCATGGTCGGTCACGTCCAAGTTCATGTTACACATAGCTGCTTGTGGACCGGTTGGGTGAGAGCTGAAGCAGTTGCAATCATGCACTGGCCTTGACGGAGTTTTGTTAATGCACACAGTTCGGTGAACAACATCATCGCCGCCCTCAACACCTCAGAAGAGCAAGCGTCACCTTGTGTCTGGGTGTGCCTGCTTGTTCGAGAGATTCCCACAGGGACAGTTTATTAGCTATAGTGTTCAATATCCGGTTCTGTCCCACACCAGCATGCATGTCGATTTCTACACAAACGATTTAAGCATGGTGTTTGCAAGTGACCGTGAGGCCAAGGCTTAGCTTTGTTCCACACCGGGATTTCCTGGGCAGCCAGTGGGTTGCTGAAGATAGCAGGTATAGGCATAGTTCATGGGTCAGAGGACCTGGGCGGTGGCCCAGGAGCTGTTGCCACAGCCCTTCGAGAAATGCAGGGCCCCTCCCCTCCCCGGAAAGTCCTGAAGCCAACGAGCAAAGAGTAGGCTGCATGTTTTTGCGATACGAGAGAGGCTTCAAGAAACTTCACCGAGGCTGCAACAAGCGGACACCCTGGAACCTGCGGTCCTTGCGAACACATTGTGGAGGACTGCCAGGCAGCCTGTGATGGTCATGCCTTAGAGTTGCCCGCACGATCAATCGAAGATGACAGCCCGTGTTGCAGTGTCACGTTGTCTTTCTCGCACCAGGCCGGCAACCGCAGACGGAGCAGCAACCGGTGCGCTCAACGAGACCAGCTACTTCATCCTTCCTTCCTATGGCCACATGTAATTTATGAATGCACTTCTCCATGTCTGAATGCATGCACAGAAGTATGCTTTGGCCTGAATTGCACGTGTGAAGGCATCAATCGCAAAGGCGTGCTACCCCTGCCCTCTGCCGCTACATGTTTACGTGTGAATCGGCACATATGCTTGGATACCTTTCTCGGAACCCTGATGTGCAACTGAGCTTGTGTCCTGTTAACCAACCCAAGAATATGCATGATCACACAAGGTCGTTTATGCGCATGTTTCAACACATCGGTAAATATCTTTTGCAACACATCCGTCGGTACATACATAGGAATAGGAACAGAAAAATCAAATACAGTGCGAGCGGCTTCAAGATATGTATGCTGGCATGCATTTTTCGCATATGTGCAGATGCATGCTTGCCGTTTGTATATTTGTACATTGAAATGTGGGTGCACACATTCTGCACAGACGTATTCATCTACTCATATCTCATAGAAGTATACATTTGTGCTTGCGTGTAACCATGTCGATCGAGGTGTGTGTGTGTATATATATATATATATTTGCATGTTTTCGGAAGTTTATCTACGTGCATGTAGGAGTACACAAAAGTTAGCTAAGAAATCCCCTGCATCCCAATCGCCGCACACATAGACATAGAGGGACACATACATTAGTATATGTGCACTATTCTGTTCAGATGCGTGCATACTCTGCGCGAACAGGAAAAAACCTTTCCATAAAAGGATATGTGAAGTTAAGCACAGATTGGAGAACACAGATGTGTTGGTATGGAGGCCTGATGACGGTACATGTATCTGCGTATATACGGGAAAGGTTAGCGTGGATGTCTGCAAGCACACAGCGATATGAATATCTTCTTCTACATACGTGGCATGTAGGCGGCACGATGCTGAGCTACTTTCTGCGGTTTGCACATGTGAGCGGCTGGTGCGTGCATTGTCTTTCGTGCAGATTCGTTTGGCTCGTGGCCACCTGGCCCAGTGGCCAGCAGGCCGTAGTCTGGAAGTCGCTGGCTGGCGAACATGTCAACGTAGCAGACGTAGCATTTGCAGCAACTGCCAAGAACATCATTTCTGCATTTGCTGTAGGAAGCTCGCATGCAATGCTTTGGAAGCTCTTCCTCTACTCTGCAGCAAGCGGTGGCTTTGCTTGTGCTGTGTTCTGGAAGCAAGGCTGCAGTGACCCACTACCTGGAACGAGTTGTAATGCTAGCCACACCAGAGGTGCTCTTGCAACCAAGGAATGCTTTGACAGGGGACTTTGTGTATGATGACACATATGCGATCGTTCAGAATCCTGACGTGTACTCTTCGTCACCACTGGCGAACTTGCTCAAGAATGACTTTTGGGGATTTCCGCTTCAGTCGGAGAAAAGCCACAAGAGTTTTCGACCACTGACCACTCTGACGTTTCGTGTCGAGATGTCTCAAATGGGAAACACTGCTGACAAACAGGTTGCCAACATGATGCATCGCACCAATGTGATTCTTCACGGGATCAACACAGCCTTGTTGGTTCCACTATACCGGAAGTTAGGCTTCAGCGGCAAGGAATGCTTCATTGCCAGCATGCTCTTTGCATGCCATCCAGTGCATGCCGAAGCAGTAGCGAATCTAGTCGGTCGTGCTGAACTTCTTGCAGCATTATTCACCATATTGAGCATTCTATTGTGGTCGCCGTCCAACAAGCGCTGGCCTTTGTCGATGCTTTTGGGTTCACTGGCGCTGCTTTGCAAGGAGACGGCAGCAGTTGTAGCTCTTCCGATGTGTACAGTCATGCAGACACTCAAACCGCCCAAGAAGCCTGCATCTCGACTGAAGACGGTGCTGCCCTTGCTGCTTTTGGCTGTGCTGCTGGCTGCGCGGGTATCTCTGCATGGCGGTATCCATCAGCGTCCTTTTCTTCACCGTGAGTCCAACCCTGCAGCTTTCGCAGAGAACATGGCGACGCGGATTCTCAGCCTTCACTTCTATCTTTACAGGCGCACTGTCTCTCGTGTGTTTTCCGGCACACGCGTGCCTGGTCGCATGAGCTCGGAAAGCGACATGTATTGACCTGTGCTCTGTCCAGGCATTTGGTCCTGCTTCTATGGCCGAATCCGCTCTGCTGTGATTGGAGCCATGGTTCCATTCCCCTCCTCCACAGCTTTGCAGATATGCGAAGTTTTGGGCCTTTCTGCGTCATCTACGGGCTTCCGGCGGCTTTGCTTGGGCTGGCCAGCATCTCGGCGATAAAACCGCATTGTCATTTTGCTCATATCGTGGCAGTGTAGAGCTGTCCCAGAGGCACTGCAAGCATTGCCAGCAGTATGTTGTGCAGCCACGTGGCATGATGCACGATACTGCCACGCCAGGCTGCCATGCCTCTCGTTCTTACCATCGAGGACTGTTGTCATCCAGTGCTCTCATGGCTTTGTCAATAGTGCCGTTCTCGAACGTCTTGTTCACCGTGGGCTTTGCCGTCGCTGAGCGCGTGCTGTATATTCCATCTATAGCAGCCTGCTCCATCATGGCTCACATTCTCTGCGTGTCTCTGCCAGCTCTGCCGGCTCGCGGACCTCCGGCTCGGCTTTGCAGATGTGTGATCTTGATGATTGTCGTCACATGGTGTGGAAGTTGGGCTCGTAGCTGTTTGAAGCAGAGTCTGGTGTGGGGGACTGCAGAGTCGTTGTATCGTGCCGGCATTGATGCGAATCCTTCCAATGAGAAGCTGCATGACCTTCTGGCTACCAGACTTCAAAACAGTGGCGGTGATCTTCAGGAGGCCATGTGGCATGCTGAAGAGGCTATTCGGCTCAATGATGACTACTGGCATGCTCATGCCACTTTGGGTCAGCTTAGATCAACCGGTGGTGACAGGTCAGCTGCCATTGCCAGCTACACGAAAGCGTTGCGTTTGGCTGAAGACCAGCAGTTGGACACCGTGGCAGATGCCCCCAAAGTTCGGCTCAATCTTGCTGTTCAACTCCAAGATGTAGATCGACATGCAGCCGAGGGGCATTTTCGCCGACTTTGCCTTCTACCGGCCTCTGATCCACTCCGAGCAATGGGCCTTGTTATTTTTGGTGCATTTCTGGAGTCCGGTGCACGGGGCCGACGAGAACCTCTTGAAGAAGCGGCGTACATGTATGAGGAGGCACTAAGGTCCAGTGCCCTCGAACACAGAAGTGCTGCGCATCTGCGCCTGGGATCAGTCATCCGGAGGCTTGCGTTGACTTACAATGAAAGCCTCAGCGGACATGGAGTCGGTGCCCCTGTTGCTCCAAGTTGCTCTGAGAAGAGTGCCACTCTTCAAGAACCTGGCTCCAGGATACCCAGTACATGGTGGCAGGTGTGGAAGTGCATGAAGGAATTCAATCCTAAGACAGAAGTAGGGTGCGACAAGGAGATAGACCTTGTAACGCTGGGACCCTGCCACTCTTCAAGCCCAGTGAACTTGGCCGAGAGGGCCTGGCAATTCTTTCGTGGATGCACGGCGAAGGAGGCTGTGGCGGAAGGCGCCGATACTTTACTGAATTTTCTTCTGACAGTTTTTCGTGGAGGCGTGTTGAAGACATGAGACTGTGGATCAAAGAGGAGCTAAGTTGACCTTGCGGCAGGTTTTCCTGCAATCAGTCGGTGGCCGCTCCCGCTTTCGGAGTCGATGGCCTTGGTGCAGATGCGGCAAGGTCGGCTGATGTTGGCTGACGGTTCAGTCTGTGCGTGCCCTGCTGCTGCTTAGCTGGTGAGGACTGGAGCTGGCATCTGCCCCGATGGCACAGTCCCTAGATCCAGGAGGTCGCAAGTGGCGGGAGGGCCTTGCCGTGGTGAGTTCCTTGCCTTCAGGGCCAAGCAAGGAAAAGCGAAGCAACCTTTGCCAAGGAAGCGACCGGTGCTTCAGTCACGCACTTTAGCCCAGGTGCACGTTTGGTGGTCGAGGGCCGCATGTCGGAAGCATCGAAGATTCTGGCGCCACTGGGGCCCCACTTGGACCCGGCAGCTGTGCTCACAGCCATGGCAGAGGAGCAGCTAAAGGCGGGCTTACTAGTGCTATTGTATTGGTATGTGTGAGGGCACCAATTGTGGTTCCGGAGGGTTCCATGTATAAGGACGATGGCAACAGTTGTGTGTTTCATGTCTTGCAATCTTCCTTCCGTTGGAAAGGGGGGCGATGCAACCGTGGCCTTGGACGCGTACAAGGCCGCCCTAGCCTTGTGTCTTGGGTGCAAGGCAGAGGGCTACTGGAGTGATTCAAAGAGGGCTGTCATGGAGTGCAAAGCTTGGTTGTGAGGCATCCAAGCCGCAAAATTCATTTGGGGATGGCCGAATCGCTGCAAAAGTTGGGTGACAAGGCAGGGGCTCAGCCCTTGTCGGGCTGGAAGGATCGTGTAAGTTCGGATGCACTTTGTCCAGGCTGCTGCAGTTCATCACAGACAACTGGCAAAGCAGTATCCAGAGCTGAGCCAGAGGGGAAAAGCCTCAGAGCACTGTGCTTGACGCCTTGACGCTTCCGTGCAGCACAACCCGGATGCAGGTGCTCTTAGCTCGATGGCTGCGGAGGCCGTACGATGCTCTGCGCGAAGAGAGCTTGTTTGTGGATGGCGGAGATGGTGGAGTGCAGTGGCTCATTGCAGGGAGACGATTTCCACAATGCCTTGTTTGACCAATCCCTGCCAGGGCATCGTGTAGTTCGGCACGCGAGACCCAGCCCGCTAGATTCTCAGAAGCGTCTGGAGACCTTATCTGCGGGACACCCGAGCTACGAAGTCTTGTCTTCATCTCAGGCACGTTGCAAGCCCTCTGTGCTTCAGTTCACCATGGCGTTGCCATAGTTGAGGAGGCTGGGGGCAGGAGTAGGGGATGGTAGGGGCACGGCTTGGCCTTGAGCTTGTAATCAACAGTGCTTCAATCGCTTCCCTCTTCTTGGCTCTGAGCCCGGCCCTGTGCCTCTTCGCCGCTTCGCTCGCTCGGATGTTTAGGCAAGGCCGGCACGGACTCGGTCTTGGTCTGGTCTTTCTCGGAGCCCTGAGTGCAGTGGCACACCGTTTCTAGTCGACTTGTGCAAAATTGCAGCGACGGTGCATCTGCCTGACATTCTTTCCGACTCAGGTGCAGGAATTTCTTGGTCACGATCGCCGTGTTTTGCTTGTGCTCCAAGAGGCAACGCTGGGCCTTTTCCTTCCGACACTTGGCCCTGTTTTTGTCACTGCTTTCGGGGAGATGCTCCAAGAAGCTCGCTCCGTGCTGCAGCCTTTCTCCTCGTGTGACCCAAGGTCAGTGTGCAAGTAGTGGCCTTAGTCACGCCGGGTAGGGAGAGACAGACGCCGGTTTGTGCCTGTCCTCGCATTGCGTTACATTCTGCTTTCAGAGCAGGTTGTGACCTACAATCGGCCGTCCCTCCTTTTGGAAGCACTTCTTCAGATCGAAGCGCAAGACTATCCTACACCCCTCGAGGCCGCGGAGATAGAACGAACCTCTTGCAACTTCCATGTGTGCTGTTGCGCTCCTTCCAGGTGTTGATCCTTGATGATAGTGATACCAGCAGCGAGAAGGATGTCCTCCGCTTCGCAGCAAACTCGCGTCATGACATCCAGTACCGTGCCGGAACTGCAACTTTATTGGTAGCTGTGCACTCGCACTTCCTGTGTGAGTCCCTCATTCAGACATATTTTGAGGTTTTCTTTCCGAGAGACTCACCATCGGAGAGAAGAGGAACCTTGCAGCCGAATCTACCAGCGCAGAATTCATCTGCACTTGGGACGACGATGACATTTACACTGTAGACCGCGTGCGATTGCAAGCAGAGTTCTTGAGTGGCAACCGGCGCTGCAATTGTGTGGCTCCCCTACATTCTTGCATGTCGCTCTGGGACTTGTAGATGTCTTTTTCGATGTGCTTGCTCGCTGTGCAACCTGCATGTGTAAGCTGAAACATAGTCTGCTGCAGGTGGCAATTGAGAGGCGCTTCTTCTACTGGCTGAACGAAGATGTGCTACGCGGGTGTTTTTCAGCTGAAGCATGGGCACGTGCCGTCTCTGCATGTTCTTGGATTGATCTGTTTTGAGGCGAGGACGTGCAATTTCTGCCTTTGGAGAATACGTTGTGCTTCCGTCGGCGGTGGTTTGAGGCCGCTCAGTTGCAACCTGTGTCTTTCTATGTTGAGGGGCAGTCTATGGCGAGGGGTTTGACATTGACAGGCAGGGCGCCGCTTCGCTGCCGGAAGCTTGAATGAGGGTCTCGGTCTTCTGCGTGGGCCGACGGGTGTCAAGCATCCGGGAAGGTGCGCCTTGCCTTTTGAACTGGATTGATTCGGGCTTCAAAGGGTAAAGAACCGCCAGAGTGCAGCATCTAAAAGTACAGACAAGGCGAACTTTTGCTATCCTGGAGTCCATGGTGACAGGCTTGGGATCCTGCCGATCTCTGCGGAGGAGTTGCCCTTCCTGTGCTCGAGCTGCAGAGCAGATACTTGTAACAGCTCACTTTGCGAATCTTCGGTGCATCGTGGCAAAGGTACATCAAACACAGTGGCTCGATGACTGGCACCGGCAAAGAACCCTATGCCAAACAAGGCTCCCTGGTGTATCCGCGGCACCAAATAAACAGATCCATGACAAGCTTCACTCTTTCAATGCAGCTGTTAGCAGCAGGCGCAGAGATCTCTCTGCTGCCACTGGTACGAGCTTGCCACTTGGGCCGATTTCCAGACTTGCCTTCGCGCACAAATCATTCGCGCATCCTCCGGGCTGTACGAGAGCTTTTGAGAACCTTGCCGAGAAGTGGGAAGCTTTCCTTTTCCTTGACTTCAGAAATCCATCCATCTGCTTTCAGAAAGATTACAGGAGATCTGATCTCCGGGGATTTGGACGACCTCCGTGCAACGGGAGATGCCATCAAGGCCGCATCTGCAACGAGACGTTGCCTTGAACTTCGAGCATGTGTGATCGCGACAGCAGGCTGCAAGATATCTCGAAGCACTGACGGGGGTCAGGCCACAAGATGAGTCGCTTCAAGGAGAGTCGCAGCCTTGTGCCAATGCTGGTATTTCTCGCAAGATCAGTCATGCTTCAGTGTGAGAGGACTCCTCGACGGCATTGGAGAGTTGCAAGCAGCTCTTGTTACAGGCTGATGGAATCGATTGCCTGCGGCTGCAAAAGAGCGTCACTGCAGGAGCAGGTTTCAGGTCTCCTGCCACGGTCGTGGTTCGGTTTGCCTCAGCTAGACTCCCGCGGTCGTGGTTCGGGTTGCTTCTGTGAAGACGGAAGAACGAAAGCTCACGAAAGCCTTGTTTGCGGTTGAAGACAATCGCTCTGCAGTCTGAGATCAAGCCAGTCAAGCCGACATGGCATCTGCCATATGGCGTAGCATCCCATCAGAGCGGCTCTTTTGGCTGGCCTGCAGGGCCCTCGAAATTCGCCTTCAGATGTGCTCTGTAATGGATATCGCTGCGTCGCTGCGTCTGCTTGTCGCTTCCGAAATGTTCGAAGGTGAACAAGGAAGCAGCTCTTCGGCGCAGAAGCTGATAGAAGCCAAGGCGAGTCTTGCTGCTATTATTTTTACTGTTAACTCTATTCTCATTTCTATTGCCATTATTGTGAATGATTCCCAAAACGCTAAACCTTAAACCCTCTAATTTGGGCTTTGGAGGGTTCAGGGTGTAGCCCTGAGGGTCCAAAGGACCAAATAATTATGTACTTGGGCTACGGATTGCAGTTCTCAAATAAAGCGAAAGCCTGTTCTCGGATCTTGGCCTTTTTTTTGAAGCCCAGGGGCGGAGCTGTGGCAAAGTGCTCCGCCTCGAAGAGCTGGATGCCGCCGTTGCCTGGCTGCCATCCTCTTCCCTGCTGATTTTTGAGCCCTCTCTCTCTCTCTCTGTCTCTCTCTCCCTCTCTCTCTCTCTATATATATATATGTATGTATGTATTATATATGTATGTATGTATGTATGTATGTATGTATGTATGTATGTATGTATGTATGTAT